AGGTTTGAAGGAGATTATATAGCGTTCAAATCCCTAAAAATTAGGGTTTTCCTTTACAGCGCCTACTCACCGAGTTGGGCCTTTCCAACTAGTCGAGTAGATCCTAAATCCCGCGTCCCACAAATGATCTCTACTCGACGAGTTGGAGATCCCCAACTCGTCTAGTTCCAGTCCAAAACCCTAAAATTTTGAAAAGTAATTAATACCTGAAACAAGCATTACACATTTGCGCAACTCGTGTTTGAGTCCAACTCTTGTAGTGTGAGACCTTAGTGTCAAAGAATTATCTAGCATCCATGACATGTAATTATATTTGTAAGGTAGTTAGAGGGTGTTAGTAGGGGTTTCTTCTGCAGCTGATGGCGGAGAGTGGTGAGATGAGAAATCCTAGGAGAACCGAGGAAGCATGTTAGCATTAGCAGGTATGTTATTGGGGAGTCAGTTAAGTGAATATGGATGACGCTTGAGAAAAGTACGAATATGTGTGGAAGATAGTATTGAGCCTGTACTACTGGAAGCACAGGATTCGTACTCGAGTAAAGGGAATAACGAGGATACTAAAGGAACCGCTTGGTATGAGATTCTTCGAGTGTTTTCTTATGGTTTTTATCTTTTGTTTTCACTATGGTGGTCACTCGAGGTAACTCAGGTCCTGTTGAGGGATCGGGTTTGGGCTCTGGAGCGGGACCCCTGGAGGATCAGATGTAGGAATTCATTTCGTCTGAGATTACCTGCAACATTTTGAAGCAGACTCTAGTGATCTTTGGTATGATCAATGAGGATATCATGGAGATTTTAGATGAGCGTCTAGGTGCATTTCACACTGAGTTGGTAGCTATGGTGGATGCATGCTCTATGATGTTCCGAGCGTTTCGTGCCTTTGGGGATCTTGAGTTATTTGGAATGAAGAACCCTATTGCTAGTAAATGGTGGTTGGCAGACATCAGGAACGCTTTCCTGACTAGCTTCTGCCCCGAGGGGTTAAAGGTCGGATTTGCATCATGTCTTCTGAAGGATAGAGCTTGAGATTGGTGGGAGGAGGTGGATTATGCTTTAGGAGGCGAGGTAGTTAAGACAATGTCTTGGGATGATTTTGTTATGAGATGCATGGCTAAGTTTGCAACCATAATTGAGGTTCAACAGTTAGCGAGGAAGTTTCAGGACCTTCTCCAGACTACCGAGACTGTGACAGAGATTACCGCCATGTTCCGTGAAAGTCAACGTTAGACCCAAAGTTTACATATCAGTGCTACAGTTTGCAAAACAAAAATGGTAAACACCTACATCACCACCATATGTGTCCGCCTCTATTCCAACCAAATCACCACAAATGATGTTTCCTATCTTTCCTAATTTAGTGTGTGTCGATTTCAAGAATTTTTGCGATTTATTTACATATGTGTGTATGTCGATTTTAAGCTTTTTTTCCAATCGTTTATGGATGACGAAAATCATCGTTACAACCACTGAAGGCAGACGGAGGTGGAAACGAAGAACGCATACGAAGGCAAGTGATGCAGGTGGCGACGGAGAAGGCAGACAACGACAACTACAATTGTTGAATTCCTCTCAGACTTCGTCGTTGCTCCGTCCTACTGTGGCGAACATATCTGACAAAAATGTGTGCAAACCCTAACTCCGATCTCCGCTACGACTATGGGAAGTGGGGCTCAAAAATTTTCAATTTAGAAAGTGGTGGTGGAAGGTGGAGCTGATGTTGCTGTTGGTGGCAAGGTCATCGATGGAGGTTAGGTCTAGCTAGTAAAGTAGGAAGAGCGAGAGAAGGAGAGGGGTGTAGATGGGGGATGATGACTTAGGTGGGGTCTTGGGATATTTTTGGTTTATTTAATTAAAAGAATAAGAAATCTTAATAAAATAGATAAAAGGATATTAAAAAACAATTTTATGACTATATTAGTCAAAATTATAAAGACCAAAACCATACAATATATATTCAAAATTAGACCACTATACATCACCAAATTTTTTTTGGATCATACAAACATAATTTTTACTAACACACTATTTTTGCATTTTTGTATAAAAAAATAATAAATAAAAAATGGTACCACTTTCCAACAGCAAAGTCTTCATTTAATGATATTAAAACATCAAAAAGGTCTCTTTCCTAGAAGAACTCAAAGCATTGATAGTTGGGACTTTGCTACTTCTCAAAACCAAACCAACGAGGATAGCTTCAATCATTTACACATATTTCTAGGTAATTATCATCTATTTTCCATGCTGATATTAGCAATTGTTGGAATCTTTTCATGACGTCCTTCATTGCTCACACCCTGTTTAGAAGAGGATTTCTTCTTATCGTTTAGATAATCATCAAGTATAGCAAATTGTAATTACATTCCATTGCAGCCTGTAGTTGATCAATCCAGAAGAAGGAAGAAAAGAGGTGAATCCTGTGGATAGATCGGAATCCCAAATTCCAAGTAAATTCGTGGTGTTGAATATGTTATCCCTTATGTTTTTGTATTCTATTATTTCTAATTGTGTGGTCAAATTAAATCGTGGGTTATGCTATATATAGATATTATGGAGAAACTGTTTTACATTATTGTTTTTGATGCTTTTGTGATCAATTGGTATCTCATAGATACATTATTCAGATGGGTTTTTTGTATTCTTGATTATACATCGGATAGATCTGTGAATTTCTGATTAAGTTGTGAACAGTTTAAAAAATGATCTGAATTATTTGAGTCCCGAAGGTTAGAAAAGATTGTGTTTTTCTCATTCTCTGAATCATTAAGTTGTTCCTGGGTTCATATTCATGATTGTGAGAGCTGTTCAGAATTAAATTGTGAAACTTGGAATAATCTTGATCGTGTTTAACATTCTAATTGTTTAACTAATCTTCAAAGAGCAGGTTGTTTGAAAAAGTTTTGCAGGAATTAAGCCAATGATAATGAGAGCTGTTCGATTGAAGGGATACATCATCCTTGAAAACCTAGATCTTCAGTTTCTTGGGTCTAAATCAGCTTTTCGTTTTAAAGTTTGTCAAATCCTGGTAGACAAAAATCAGCCGACATTGGTAAGATACAAGTAAGCTTGTTAACATCCCTCTTTTCTTTCGGTTTTCTACAGTAATCTTCTAAGTAAAAGGATGTACTTATGACTCCTTTTTAGAGATTTATGGATACGAAAAAAAAACTATATAATGATCACCCTTTTCTTAATTTATTATTGTTAATATATTAATAATTTAACATACATGTTTAAAAAGTAAACCGATAAATATATGGACAAATTCGAAAATCCAAAATCCAAAATCCAAAAAGAACCTCAAATTGCATAAAACGCATTATGATATCGTATTATATATAAACTATTTTTTCAGTGGGGTACGCTTATTATTAAACATCATCCATTAACATCTTTTTTCTGCTAAAACAATATATAATATAGTATATCATATTTTAGCAGTTACATATATAATATAAAAACTACGTATGTTTTAATAGGCTTATATAGCAATATTTTAGAACAAGGAGAGTCAATATTTACTTATTATTAATACTGTTATTACTAACATATTAATCTTACTTAATATGTATAAACAATTTAATTATATTATCATATTCTTCTAAAAAAACAAATCCTCCAAATTTGTGTATCCGCTTCCAAAATTTACAGCGTGCAATTAAACTTATAAGTATCTTCAAAATCCAAACTTTTAAAACTATAAAAAATACTCAATGATATCTATGACTGTAAAAAAATTTAAGTGAAAGTTTTGCCAACTGTGAAAAGTGTCTTCACAATATAATAGCCTTTATTTTCGATATAATTTTAATAAATTAGTTTTCAAGGTTAGAAGAAAATTTGACGAACTGTAAAAACTTATTTATTTTGTTGAATAGATAAACTTTGTTTGATTCTCTTCTTGTACAATATTTTTGAACAATTATAGAAAACATAAATTTAAAATTTTGGATTAAAAAATATTTAAATAGATGGGTGAATATATAACAAAGGCTAAGCTAGCGTAGTAGGAGATTTTTTTACCAACTATCTTAATTAACAAAACTCATTCGTAAAATCAAATAATAGAATCACACAGATAGACTTATAATATGCGCCCCACCTTACAAAAAAAATGGGTGCTTAATAAAGGTTTGTAATAAAAAAATGAAGATCGAATTGAAGATCTAACAGCCACATAGTATATGTTGTATTAAATATATAATCTACAAACTGATTATTATATTTATCATTTATTTAATATTAATTATATGAATTAAAATATAAAATCCTTAATAATAGTAATAAAAGAATGAAGACATAAATTTGTCATTGAGATATTGGAATAATATAATTATAAAAAAAAGCAATACACTACAGACCAATGATGCCATATGAAATCACAAGTATTTATCTTTTTTGGGTTAAAAAATTAAAATATGCTAAAAATAGGTAATTAATTAGTGACGTTATGGTTTTGATATATTTTATTTATTAGTTCATAACTACTTTTTGATTACTATAAATTAACATTAATTTTTGGAGAAGTGAAGACATTGGTCAATGATTATAGATTTATGATAGATTGTGATCTTATTAATTTGTTAGAATGAATATCTATGAAGGCCAATTCAAGTTAAGGTAAAACAATGTAACAGAGAAAAGTCAAAAAAGGAAACTTAAGAGTAGAGGAACCATACTTAATTACATAGATAGTCATTCATTTCGTTATCTGGGCCCCACTTCCACCCCCACACTTTGCCAACACTGTTCATTCGCTGCATTGTTGTGATTTGTGAGTGTGTGTGAGTGTGTGTGAGTCAAAAAAGGAAACTTAAGAGTAGAGGAACCATACTTCCTCTGTTTCATCACCTATTACATATCCGAGTGAATGAATATTATAGTATATATATATATTTGGCCGTTTCCAAAAAAAAAAATTATATTTTAATCTTGATCCCACAGCAACCTCCTTTCCAAACCACACTTTTCTTCTGTTGTTCATAATCTCTTATAAGAGCATGCAAACAGCGCGAATACAAATACGCATTGCCCCATTTCGAAATCCATATACAGAGATCATTCAAACTTCCATTCCAATGTCGATCCACGACTTCTCATCATCTACCCCAGTGGTTGTCACAAGAATTGTGAACGCCGATAACCTTGAACACGAGTTTGGTATAATTTCATCTATCGTCGACGATTACCTTTTCGTTTCATGGGAGACGGCGTTTTCCGGCGTCATTTTACGTTCAGAAGGCGATAACGACGGCAGCTTCCGTCACGAGAATAGTTCCCAACTCTACGACCAACTGAAAAGGACTGTCGAGGCTTATAAACCTATTCAGTTAGGCCTCACCCTCGCCGATGCCGACGGGAACCTCCCTCATCTGGACAGCGGAAATCTTTATGTCTGGGAATTCAACTTGAAGGATTTTGATCCGGCGCGTGACCTACACACCGCAGAGTGTATCGAATCCTTGAAAGGAAAAGGCGTCGATTTTGAGAAGAATCGTGACTACGGGATAGATTCCGTGAAATTCGCTGAGCTACTGATGTCATCTGGGTTGGTCTGTAACCCCGAGGTGGTGACCTCGGTGGCGTTTCACAGTGCTTATGATTTCGGCTACTTGTTGAAGATGCTCACCGGTAAAGCTTTGCCGGATGATTTGCCCCAATTTCTGCTTCTTTTGGAGACCTTCTTTGGGCCTAATGTGTATGATGTTAAGCATCTGATGAAGCACTGCGAAGGTCTTCATGGTGGATTGGAGCAGGTGGCTAAGACGCTCAAGGTGGAACCGGCGGCCGGAAAGTTTCACCTCGCCGGGGAAAATAGCTTGCTGACATGGAACATCTTTCAGAAGATCAAGGATCTTTGCGGTGGTGAAGTCGAGAAGTATAGTGGCGTTATCTATGGATTAGAGCCTTTCTGACTTAGCATTAAGATCGTTGCAGAGGTGAGCCGGAGAAGTATGCCGGGTGTTTAGTTTGTAGGGTTTAAGAAATGTTCTTCGTTACAGTAAGATGATATCATACCATTTTCGTTTCTAGGGTCTCTGTATGTTGTATTACTATCTTACATCTTTTCCTTTTTGTGGGATTTAATCTTTCAGCAGGCTTAACCACTACTAGATATCATTCATATACACTCACAATGTCACACACACACACACATACACACACACACACACACATATATATATATATATATATATATATATATGAAAGATCATGAACCCCTGATTTCTAAGAGACAAGTTAATGTTGTAACTTGTAAGTTGTTTTTCCCGTTATATAAATGTCAGTTCTCTAGGGTTAATAATCTTACCAGATATATAGGCTTGCTTGCCAGTTGCGACTCATGCTCTAGGCAACACTTTCTATATATATCAAACTGCAATTGGATTCTCTACATTTATTGCATTCTTAACATCAACTGGAACTTCTAAGTACTTTACTTCTGTTGCTATATATATCTACATCATACTTACTCTTTGAATGCTAATGAAATCCAATAATATATATACAATTAGGTGTGTTTAATTCTGTTATGACAAGATCCTCCCCATGATGAGAAATTCCTTATAAACCCTATAATTTATTGTCTATTACATATTCTAAGTTGCTTATCCTCGAGGTTTCCAACATTATGCCTTGTAGTTCATCGAAATCTTTGTATGGGGTATCTAGGTATAAAAATCCGTGGCTTTAATTGTGTAAGATTAATTTTTAGACTTCAGTCTATAAAAGTTGTTTCCGGCTCCATCTCGTCTTTCTTATTTGTTTTCTTGACAAGTAATATTAGTAAAAAGTTAGAACTTTTGTATTCCCAAAAGTTCAAAAACATTGTTGGGATGTTATCCTTAATTATGTAGTTCATAAATGCTTTTTGGTTATTAGTAATTGATAATTTTGATTGAACAGTTGTATTCCAAAAGGTGCAAAAAGAAAATTCGGATTGTTATCGTGATTTTACTTCAACTTTAGCTTTTGATTATTTATTTATTTGTAATGAAATTAATAGTTTTATATTTCATGGATGTTGGTCATGATTAAAAATTCATGCGAAGTTAAGATCTGAATTAAAAAATCTGGATAAAAACCTACAAGAATTACGAATAATGAAGCCCAGCGTATAGTCATACACATCTTTCTGAAAATCGTATCATCCGAGGAGTGGGGGAACTAGCAAAAAGACTAGGGTGTCCAGGTGAATTGTGATCAATAATAATATATGTATTAAAAAATGCACTTTTACTTAAAAAGAGGAAAAGTAATTCATACCGAAACAATAATTTACAACTCTTTCATCAAGTCTTCATTACTTCATAGTAATGGGTTAATACCATAAAAGCCATAAGTTTTACACCATAATTCTAAATTAGCCCTAAATAGATTTTTTGTGTCTAATTAGACATTATGTATGTGTTGACTTTTGCCTCAAACCTTGTTAGCCGGTTTCCCCGGTTTCAGCCGGTTACCCCTTTACAAATAAGGGTTTTACCGTTAGAAACCCATCTTCCATCTCCTACTTCTACATTCCCCGACTTCTTCTTCCACGCATCTAACTTCTTCATGGCTAGTTCATCTACAGGGTCTACAGGGTCAATGACTTCAGGATTTCAAAATGTTAATGTCAATTTCAGGAACAGAAACAACCCCGTGGTTTTGTGTCGTTGTGGTGTTGAGGCTAGCTTCTCAATTTCATGGACGGACAAGAATTCTGGAAGAAAATTTAGGGGATGCACCAACTACAAGGTATGTTCTTCACTCTTTGATCCAGTATAGAGTTTTGTTATGGGACTAAGGGCAAATTTGTCATAAAAATGTGTAGTATAAAGTTTTCGAATGGGACTAAGGGCAAATCTATCATAAAAATGTGCACATTTGTTCTTCACTCTTTGATCCAGTATAGAGTTTTGTTATGGGACTAAGGGCAAATTTGTCATAAAAATGTGCAGTATAAAGTTTTGTTATGGGACTAAGGGCAAATTTGTCATAAAAATGTGCAGGATCCTTCCAAGTATTGTAAGTTTTTCATGTGGTTGGACCCACCTTTGCCTAGTGAAGATTACAAAAACCTCATGTACCAAATGCATTTAGCTCTGGTTGGGATGGTTGATGGCAATGCTCAGTTGGAACAGGTGAATGTGGATCAAAATAGGAGGTTGATGTTGATGATGAAGCTTATATTTATCATGGGCATGCTATTTGCAGTGATGTTGGTAACATGGACTGTATTGCTGGTGAGATTATAGGAAGTTAAGTTTAGTCTTTTTATGAAGTTGTTGGTTAGGTGAAATTGTATTAGATGCTTATTTTGGCACAGTTGTAATAGCATCTGAAAACATTTTGATGGTTGTAATATGGATACCCTTGTAATACATAGTCCTACGGGACAATTAATATGAAAAGCATTAACCAGAAATTGACAATTTACTATCCATTACAAACTGACATAGAAATTTGAACTTACTACAAACCACAATCTTTATAAACATAATAGCCAAATACATACATGGAGGGTAACAATCAGAACCAAACTTCCAATTTTACAACAATGTTTACAAGCCAAAAGATGATTTCCCAAAATGACAATGTTACTACAATTTACAGTCAAATGATAACATGTTGTCAACAAATTGGAAGCTTGTTACCAAAAGATGCTTTCACAAAAAAGGGCTGTCAAAAGATAACATCTTGTGTTTCTTGACTGGTCTCTTCATCAACTATACTCTCAGTCAACATCTCCTTCCTCTCTTTTGTCAACTGTGAATAAGAAATTAACATAAACATATTATCATATAATGTTCAAGAAAATTGTGTTAATAATTAAATTTATAACTACACACCTTATTAAAAGCTTCAACAATTTCCCCATGATCATATCCAGATGCCTGCAGATCTTTAATAGTTTCAAAATCTTCATGGTCAACACCTGCCACATTTTGACTTATACTACCATGCACAACCCCTATTCTCCCTACATATTTGATCTTACCTCCCCTCCTTGCCATCATCTTCATTCTCTTCAAAGGAGAAATTGACTGATCAACATCTATCATCTTACCTGCTTCTTTTGATGTGCCCTCAACAGCTTTCATCTTTCCCTCACTTGCTTCTTTTGATGTGTGATCAACAACTTTATTATGTCCCTCATTTACTTCTTTTGATGTGTCCTCAACAACTTTCTTCTTTCCCTTATCTACTTTCCTTGGTGTCTTTGCAATGTTCACAGCTAAATTCCCTCCCCCATCTCCCTTTGGTCAACCATTTTTCCTTTTAGGGACAGGGTCACTTGGATCTTCTCCATTCTTACAAGACAACTTATTATGACCAAGTTCCCTACATTTCCCACACCTAACAGTCCTGCTAACCTTTGCCTTTTGAGTAGGGAACTTAGAATCCTGACATTCTGAGGCATGTCTTCTTCTCTTTGTTTTTGGCCTTCCAGGCATTCTCCTAACAATGGGTGGTAAGGGCTTCAAATATTTAGTACAGGGCCACAAATTACTTCCATTAACAGGTAAGATGTTGTCTCTGTATGTCTCTATGAACTTGTCCTTATGGAACCAAAAGGAAATACAATCAGTTGGATATCTATGTGTGAAATTGATTGCAGCTTGAGCATGAACACATGGTAACCCTGATATCTCCCATAATCTTCATGAACAAGAATGAGCATCTAAATCCACCTTGTAAGCTGAATATCCATGCCTTGTCTCAAATAATGCCCCTCCACTTGGTATTACTATCCAGAACCTAAAATTATAAGTAATTAGTAATCTAAATGTATAGACTTAAGATCACAATTAAAATCAAATAAGCATACCTCATATGCTTTCCAAACTCCTTAATCTTCTCTAAGGTGTTTGGGCCATAGTCACCTTTCCATTGAGAAACTGTAGCAGCTTGATGATAAAACCTATTCATCAAATAAATCTTGATTTCTTCAAGCATTGTTAGAATTGGTTTTTTTTTTCTCATGTGAATGATCATCGAGTTAAAACACTCTGATATGCCATTCTCTATAGCCTCACAAGCATATCCATGAGAGAAAAATGCCCTACACCAAGAATGTGGTTTGTTTGACATCAGCCATTCATAGCCACTGGGAGTTATGCCTTTGATTTTCTTCATTGTTGCTATAAAGTCCCCCTCCACAGTACTGTTGGCAGCTTCCCAAAATAGGTTCTTAAGCTCTAACCCAATGTATTTCTTCCTGAAGTTTGCATAGATGTGCCTGGCACATTGTCTATGTTCAACATATGGAAGTAGTTCTGTAACAGCTTGTAGTAGACCCTTGCATTGAATAAACAAAATTATTATCAATGTATAATAATTAAACAAATTTATAGTATAATTTACCTTGTGCTGATCGGAAATAACCACAAGACCCCTACCACAGTCAAGGTCAAGATCAGCAACTAACAACTCAATAAACCAAGTCTAATTATTTTTGTTCTCTACATCGATCACTGCCCATGCTATTGGGTATACATGATTGTCTGCATCTCTTCTAATAGCAGTCAAAAGTTCTCCCTTGATCTGACCCTTTAGGAAACAACCATCCAAATCTATCACACGTCTGCAACCCCTATTCCAACCATCCTTAAAAGCCTTTAAGCACACATAAAACCTTTTGAAATAGTTCATGCCACTTGCATTAGAATCTACTCCCACCTTACAAGTGCTCCCTGGGTTAGACCTGAGGATTTCTGCAGCATAGTCCCATACCTTTGCATAATGTTCTTCTAACTTACCTTCTATCATCTCTCTTGCCTTTGTGCTAGCCCTGTGACATTGCCCCTTGGATACATTTACTAAAAACATCCTAAGTACATCTTCCTTCATCTCAGTTAATTTCATCTTTGGCTTCATAATAATATCCTTCAGGTAATGTTTGGCCAACCAGTTACAACTAACCAAAGTTCCAAAATTAAAATTTCTAGCACATAGATGTATTTCACATATAGATTTAATCTGAAATGTTCATTCATTATACTTCCAAGCAGCATAAACTCTAAAGGGACATG